GGTTCAGGCCAGACCAAACAACTCAAAGTGCCCGCCAGAGAGCTCAGGGCAGCTTCATGCCACGTGCCTTTATACACACTGTTCCTTCTACTTGGCACACCCTGCACCCTTTCTCTGCCTGGCAGCTCCTCTCAGACTTGAAGACTGGCCTCCTCAGAGGAGCCCTCCCTGAGGCTTCTGGTCACACCCAGTCTCTGACTTCCCAGGGCATTATAGTGGCTTGTTTATATGCATCTTCCCAAGTAGCCTGGAGATTTTTTTTGGGGGGGTGCACTGTACCACTTGGGGGATCTTAGTTCCCCAACCAGAGACTGAACCCAGACTTTCATCAGTGAAAGCCTGGAGCCCTAACCACTACACCACAAAGGAATTCTCTTATCTGGAGATTCCTTGAGGACAGTGACCAGCTTACGTGTCCCTAGGTTGAAGCACAATACCTGATGCGCACAGTAGGTGCTTAATAGATGCTCCAGCACAGCTTTTGGACTTTAGATCCTAGGCACTAACACTGTTCCTGGGACACACAGTAGGCACTCATTAAATGCACACTGAAGGCATGAACCAGAGTAATCGGACCCCTCTTCTCAAGTTGGAGGTGAAGTGAGCAGTGGGGGTGGGGGTAGGGGTAGAAATGGAAGATGCTTCCTTAAAAAAACAAGATGGTATCAAGGGCAGAGGGTACGGAGGACCTTAGGAAACTTCCCAGGAGAAGAGACATACAAAACGCAGAGGTAAAAAGCAAACACAGATGGATGGAGGCATATAAACAGGGCTCTCAGTGAGCAAAGAGTGAAAAAGAAGGAAGGATAAAAGAGGAAGAAAGAACTGGGCTCAGAGGGGACAAAATGTGCCTGTGAGAGCCGCAGAGGACAGGAAGCCAGAGCCCAGGCCAGGCCAGCTGACTACAGGATGTCTGGGGCCCTTGCTTCAGCCCTGGGGTAGATAAGGGTGGCATGGGCAGCATCCTAGGGTGAAAGGGCTGGATGAAAGGTCACATGTCACCAGGCTTGGGGACATCTTGGGAAGCTCTTTGTCTCTTAGGAGAGGCTCAGTGTTATGAAACAAAGCACCCCAGATATCAGAGTCACAAATCTCGTTTCTTGCCCTTGAGTGAGCGACTGAGTTGTTCATGCCTCAGTTTCCCCATTAGGAAAATGGGCACTATTCTCCTTCCTTTAGAGGAACATGACGATCACAGTGAGCGTAGCGAGTTAGGAAGTATAAGTGAAATGGACACACCCCGATATGGCCAGGGATCTGACATAATGGTGGTGATTTCTGCCAAAGCCCTGCTGTAAGTAGGTCCTAGGAAAGGCTATGCCACCATGTCACCATGTACCAAAGAAGTTCTGAGTTCAGAGACCTGGGTTCGAGATCTGGTTCTTAGTTCCCAGAGTGGACAGTGAGGCAAAGTTTACTCCTAGGTGAAGGGCTGAGTGGGAGCTGGCATGCCAGCCGGCTGAGAGATGACTGAGGCTGCCCATAGCCAGCAGGCCTGACCACTTACCTCCACCACTGAGTGTCCCCTGGGGCCTCTGCATTTCAGCCTGTCCAATGGGCTGAAAATGGTTTTCCTGCTGTCATACTATACCTCCAGGCATGTATAGGCTTTCAGGAGGCAGAGTTCCTGGAATCATTTGAAGAGTGGGAGGAATAGGACTCTGAGGCTTGAGAAATGGAAGGTTTGTGATTTAGATACAGACCTAAGTCATCTAGCAGGACACTCAGAAGTACTGGCTTTGCTGTGAGACAGACCTAAATGTGAATCCCAGCTCTGTTACTTCTCTGAACCTCAGTTTCCTTAACTGTCAAAGGTGGGTACAGAGGCACCCACCTCCTAGAGTCACTGTGAAGAGTCAATGAGCTTGTGTATATAAACCCCTGAACCCAATCTTGGTCCCTAGGAGGCAATGGACATTAGCTCTTATTGTGAATAATAACATCATGTGCTCTTGGGGGAAGAAGGCTAGATCATAAATGTATCGATCTTTGAATGTGACTCACTTTGAGGAGATTAAAGTGGTCACAACTCGAAAATTGTATTGTCACCAAGTGTAAAATTCCATTTTGCAGCTTGTTAGGTATGCTTGACTCCTAGGGTGGGGTGGGGGGTAGAATCCCCCTCCCCCATTCCCACCTCTGCCTTGTTCTCTGTGACCGATGCCCAGAGGATCAAGGATTATTAACAAGTCTGCCAAGCTTTTGGGGTGGGGGGTGGCAACTTAAATAGAGCCTTCAGTTCCCTTCTCTAGCTGGGCTTAAGCACACTGCTGAAGCGCTCAGGAAAATAAGGGTGGCAAGGAGTGGTGGAGGGGGGTCAACCTCAAAGGCCCAGGGAAACTTCAGACCCAGCTTGGAGTGTCCATGGCCTTGGAGGCTCTTTCGGGCTGGCTGATGGGAGGGAGAAGGGGACTGACGGCTTCAGCCTCCCAAAGTCCAACTTTCCTCCAGGGCTTGCTCAGCTCCCCACCCTTACCACCCAGAAGAGTGTAGAACCCCTGGTGGGTGGGGGAGCCCAGGTGGGAGGTGGGCAGATGAGAGCAGGGGTGACAGGCAGCAGGATGCCACGGCTGAAGAAGGAAGTATAAATATAAAGCAGCCAGTGTAGGACTGGACAGAGGCCATATGAAACACACGGTACATTCCGGCCCCAGCGTAACAAACTGTACCAGCCTTTTTCAGAGCTGGGAGCACTGAGGGGAGGGAGCAGAGCCGAGGTTCCTTCGAGGCTGGCCCTGCCTCCTCCTCCCCCACTTCTCCCACAGCAGGGAAAGTCCCGATGTTCCTTTTGCAACCACAGGAAACCTCCTATCCCTGCTCACACTCTGTACCCAGTGTTCCTCTCAGCAGGTCCAGACTGGGAGGGAGCGACCAGGCGGGTAGGGGTGAGGGGAGGGGAGAGCCACAGCAACCCAGGTCACATCAGGGGAGGTGGCAAGCATCCCTGGGACACTGACTCAGAGTCACAGCCTGGAAGTGCTGCAGTGGAGGCAGAGACGACGACCACGGGGAGGTGTAGGGAAGGAAGTGCCTGGCCCAAGGTCACACACCCAGTTGTGCACCAGGGAGGGACCAGAGGGCATCCAGAGCTGGGCAGCGCTGGGCAGCTCTCTTGGGTGTAGTATGTAGGAGTGGCAGGCCAGGGAACAGGCAGTGCCCGGGGAGTGAGGGTGGGCAGCCCAGATCCAAGGCTGTCTCTGAGCTCTGGCTAGCTCTGGGCACGTCTGGCTTGGGTCCCCTCCACTCTTCCCAAACCCAGCCCGCTCTCTTAAATATTAGAGATAATGCATGGTGAAGTGCCGAGTGTGGAGGCGGGTCTGCAGTGATGTAAACCAGACTGAGTCACCTCCACACCTTCTCTCTCCTCCTCCACACACACAGCTCAAAGCCTAGAGCCTCCTGTGATCTTTCTCCCATATCACCATCTCCTTCCCACTGAATCCCTGTAGCTCTCACACATTTGGTACTCACCACCTGCTGGCTTGGGTTATTATTTAACCTCACATGCCATATATTTGTCTCTTCAACTCGCCTGCAAACTGCCCAAGGGCAGGAAATCATCTCAATACACCTAACATTTATTGAATATCAACTCCAGTGCCAAGCTTGGCCTATGGGGGATGAGCTCAGGCCATGGGAGAAGGTTCAGAGAAGCAGACTTTGTTTCTGCCTCAAGGACTTTCTAATCTGGTTAGAAGAACAGGATTAGTAAACAGATCACTAGAATATGAGACAGGCCACACGCTGCGCCGTGAGAAAGGTACAGACTGAGTGTGCTGGGCTTTCAGAGGAGAAAGGAATCAGATTTGGCTGGCACTGTTCCAAACAGGCTTTATGAGCTGGAGCTTGAGAGGTGGGTAGATCTTGGAGGATGGGCCCTCCCCGCATGGCGGAAATGGCACAGCAGACTGTGGAGGTTGGAAGGAGGGAGAGGAAAGGACTTTCCAAATTGCGTTGGAAACGTTTTTAATGACCTCCTTAGCAGGAACGAACGCAGCCTTACATATGGTAGGTGCTGGGTATCTAAGTTCTTTGTCCGCTGCTTGGTCCAGGAACCTTTAGGACAAGCGCTCAGGGACCTCTTTCTGCAGAAGGATGGGTAAGAAGACGTGGCCGTGAATACACCAGGGTTTGGGCTGGACGAAGGGAGGGGTCAGGCTCGGGTTTGGGGTCGTCTTCTTCCACCCCGCCGTCCACTCCCACCCGCTAATGTCCAGGCTCTTCCTATTTAATCCTGGCGTCCAGCCAGGGGGTTCCCAAGCTAGCCGAAAGTTGGGCTTGGTTTGCCAGCCCCTGGGAATCACTGGAGCCTCCAGGCTTGTGTGAAGAAAGATCAATCAGGGAAGGGGTCTGAGAACGGGGAGGCTCCGGGGAGGTGGCTTGTACTGGCCCCCTCTAGCGGGCTTCCGTTGTCACGTGACCGCATCCCAGGTCTCGCAAGTATGCGGCTGGCGCGTCCCTTGCTCTCCTCCTCCAGACTCCTGGACAGAGCACCCAGGGGGCTTGGGCGGCAGCCTGGGTGGCGCCTTCTCTCGCGTTTAGCTACCAATATCTCCCCTCCGCCCCTTCCCAACTGTGCTGCCCCAGGCCCCCCACTCGCCCAGGGATCCAAACCGGGACTCAGGTGGGGGATGGAGTGATCTGGGTTTGCTAAGGCCGGTGATCGGGCAGAGCCTCCGCGGGGGGCGGGGGGGGGGTCGGAGGATGGGTGTTAGAGTTGCGCACCAGCCCCCGACTGTCCCCGGTGTCTGCGCCGGGCCGGCCCCAGCGTGCACTCGCGGGACGGCGGTGGCGGCGGCGGGGAGGCTGCGCGCCGAGCGCAAGCCGCGAGCACAAACAGGGCGAGGAGGTTGGTGTGAGCGCCTGGGCCCGGTGCCAGCGCGCCGGGGCTGGAACACAATGTCCCGAGCGGGCGGGCGGGCGAACGGGGAGCGAGAACAGCCTGACTCAGCAGCTGGGTAAGTGGGTGTGCTCGCTCACCAGATCAACCGCTCTTGCAGCCTGCGGTCAGCGACGACTCAGTTCTCTCGGAGGCTCCCTCGAGCGGGAGGAGCGAGCTTACGGCCCGCTCGCGGCTCCCGCCCCTGCCTGTCGCTCTGGACCTCCACGTGGCCCGTTCGTGCAGCCCTCTGCCTTCTCGCCCCTCCATTCCAGCGTTTTGCGATCCCCTGGCCGGACCCGAGTGGGCTCTGCCCGCTCGGAGGGGCATTCACCTCACCTAGCCCGCAGGTGTGGCCCGCCAGACAAGCTGATCCTCCCCTTCTCCCACCACTCTGGGAGGCCTCTGGAGGTCTTGGCATGGGGGGGGGGGGCGGGGCGGCGTAACTCTTAGTTGCATTTGGAGGTAGAAATTTGGTCTAGGGTGGAGGGGAGCAGAAGAGGGCGCTGGGAAAGATGGGATGGATGCAGGGTAAGGAAGTCTTCCCCATCTCTGTCCCCGGTTGACCCAGAGTTCAGAGTCTCTTCCTGTCCCCTCCTCTCTAAACCACTAGGCCCCTGAAGATTACCCCGCAGGGAAGGAGAAGCAGGTGGGGAGGTGCTTTGAAGCCTGAGACCCTGCTTTTCCGCCTTACACCCTCCCACCCAAAGCCACAACAAAGACCCATGAATCCTGCCACCCAGCCACAAGGCTTCTCCTTCCTCCCCCGGGCCTGCTGTCCCCTGTGGTCTGGTGGGGCCATTGTGAGGATGACAGCCGCAGGGCGGGAGCTGAGCTCAAATGTCTGCCCAGAGCAGGACTCTTCCTGGGAGGTAGGGACCTTTCCTACACCCCAGTCTCCTGGGGTGTCTGCAAGTTTCCCACACACCCCCCCCCCCCCACATCCCGGGACACGGTGTACCTGGAGTGTGCCAGGGCAGGCAGGGAGGGGCTCCATTCTCTGCCAAGTTCCAGGAAATGCCCTGGCAGTCAGCATAGTCCTGGGCTCCAGAGCCTTCCAAGGTGGGGCAGGGGGGAGGGATCCTAGGCTGCTGACATGCCTCACCTGGGCCTCAACCCCCACTTCCCAGGCATCTTGGGCACCTTCTGTAGCCAGAGTTGAGGTGATGGATGCCAACCATCTTCCCACACATACAGGCGTCCTTCCCAAACATGTGCTTACCCAGCCAATGCTCACCAAATCCCTCAGTCAGGAGCCACTTTGACTGTTGTCGACTCCAGCCTTCTACCTGATGTATGAAATCTTTCCACAGTATCCTAGGCCAATGTTCTGAGGCTGTTTGCATACCCACAGTGACGAGGACACTCTTTTACAAGGCAGCCACAACTCTCCAGGATGTCCCTGTGTCCAAGTCCAATTGCCTAGAGGATACCTGCCCTCACATAGCCCAGAAGTGACGGAACTCACCCTCAGGTCCCTAACACCAGCTCCTCCCTGCCTGCAGTGACCTTCCTACTCCCCAAACTCACCATGAAGGAGGATTAATTCTTAACTCTTCGGACTTCCCTGGTAGACCAGTGGCTACGAATCTGCCTTGCAATGCAAGGGATGCCAGTTCGATCCCTGGTCCAGAAAGATCCCGCATGCCATGGAGCAACAAAGCCTGTGTGCCACAACTACTGACCCCACACTCAAGAGCCCTTGAGCCACAACTACTAAAGCCCGTGCACCCAGAGCCCATGTGCTCCATAGCAAGAGAAGCCACTGCAATGAGAAACCCATGCACTGCAACTAGAGAGCAGCCCCCACTGGCTGCATCTAGAGAAAGCCTGTGTTTAGCAATGAAGACCCAGTGCAGCCAAAAATAAAAATCTAAAAAAAAAATAATTAAAAAAAAATTCTTAACTGTTTTCTCTCCTTCACCATCTATTACCAAATTCTTCCCACTCCTGCTTTTATGACGAGGTGTATTGTTTGTTACTTTGCTCACCCCTTCCTTTCCAACACCATAGATTCCACCTTTGGCCCAAATTCCCACAGCCACTGCCACACTGTCCTTTCTGACCCAGGTTTTCCCTTCCTCCTACACACCTTGCTGGAATAATCTTTCTCAAACACTGTTTATTGTGTATGTTATCAACTTCAGACTCTTCAAGCACACCGGATACACCAGCTACTAATCTGAGTGTTCCATACAAAGGGGCCCACACTCATTCATGGTGTACCCAAACCACAGAATCCAGCACAAGGCCTAGTGCATGGTAGGAAGGCATCCGGTGTTCCTCGAGCGTCCAGTCCATAAGCTTATGCCTCTTTGCTCCTCACAGTTCTCTTTCCTGGCTTGGTCTCCTTGTCAGCATCAAGCCTATTGGTTTCCTGATGCTCATGCAGGCCCTTTGGTTTTGAGCAGCCCCAGTTTTTAAATTTCCCAGAATCTTTGGGGTAGGGGTGGGGAATGAGATGAGAAGCTGACATCCAAATTAACACCAGGGTGAGTGACGTCGCTCAGTTCTGACTGTTTGTGACCCCATGGACTACCAGGCTCCTCCATCCATGGAATTTTCCAGGCAAGAACACGAGTGGGTTGCCATTTCCTTCTCCAGGGGATCTTCACCACCCAGGGATCGAACCTGGGTCTCCCGCACTGTAGGCAGACACTTTACCGTCTGAGCTACCAAGTTTGCGCCAAATACCAACTCTAAAGTACTAGAGTGCTGAGTGGAATGAGTCTAGCTGCCTGCTCGGAGCCTCCGCTCCAGCAAGGAACAGAAAACCACTGAGGAGGGTGGAGAGCAGAAAAGAGTGCAAACAGTGGGTTTAGGATTTACAGAGGGATCTTGCCATTGGAGAGTCCAGCCTACCTAGCTCTGGGTCGCTGGTCTGATGCCCTTAAGTTGTTCTCTTTCTTGGCACCACATTACACACATATACACACACAGACCCAGTGAGCTTGAGCCCATCACCACCTCATAACCCAGCTCAAAGGCTCTGGTAATCTCCACCCCACTTGGATCATTTTGTCATCGACTTCCCTCTAAGCCTTACAGGTGGCCTTTAATCTTTCCTATATTTTATTGCTTCATTATGTCCTGTAATATTTTCAGCCTCAAATAATATAAACTCCTTCATGGCAGGGACAGGGTAATTTATTTACTTATTTAATATCATCTGTCTTGAGAAGAAAGACTAAGATTGGGCTCTTGGATTTTGAAGGCCACAATGACCGAGGTCCAACACTTAGCTGTATGGCCTTGGGCAAGCCTCTTCACCTTTTCTGAGCCTGCTTCATGTGTAAAAGGTGATGGAGATACTTACCTTGCAGAATGAGAGGCAAAGATTACAGAGAACACAAAGTGCTGCCTGTAAAGTGAGCAGACAACAGCCTGGTCTGTGGGAGCTTTTCTTGAGTTGGGGGATGAGGTACATTAACTACTGTCCTCCAAAACCCACTAAGACATTTCTAAGCGAGTAAAAGGACACTGTTAACAATTAACACCAGTTCCACGGAGGTAACCCGGGATGCACAGCCACTCTACCCTGACTCAAAATAATCAGTGAGGGCAGGGTTCGGATCCAGCGCCACCAGAACGCAGTGCCTAAGCCTGATGCCAAGCACGGTCCAAGCTCAACGAACGTCTGTTGAATGAACCGAACCTGTCCTGCCCTCAGCTTTTTAGAGCAAGAGCAAGCGAACAGCAAAGATTGAAAAGGCCGCCCACGCCACCTCCCCACCCCAATGCACCCCGCTCCCCCGTGTCCCAGTGTCTCTAGCAACCTCCTTTCGCTAAGGTCTCTCCTTCCCCTGCCCGCGTCTCCGCCCCTGGTTGCCTTGGAAACAGTGACGTGTACGCGAGGGGCGTGACCTCTCTCCATCCTCTCCCGGAGACCCGGGGGCCCCCTTCTTATCCCAACCGGGAAGAGGATGAGGTGGGGTCCTCGACCTTGCTGACCCTACGCCTGGCCTGGCGCTAACTCAGCCCAGCTGGTTGCCCTCCTCGGTCGCGGGACTCTCCGGATTTGCGGGCACCCCCACCCCCAGCCCACCCGGCACCGGTGGTGAGCTGGCCTGGGGGGTCCGGAGAAGGCCGGCTTCAGGCCCTAGAATCTGTCCTCATCCTTTCCCCTCCCACCCACGACGGGCCAGTGGATCCGGAGAACCGAGGCCCAGCGCTCGGCCGGGGCCCGCTTCTTCCCGGGCCGCCCTCGAGCGAGCTCCCTGTCCTGAGGGTGGGCGGGAAGGGCGGGACCCCCCCCACCACCAGGGCGCCCCCCCCCCTCCAGGGCGCGCCAGGCGCCGCGGAGCGCGGGAGGGAAAGAGTTAAACTAGGTGCCGGCGGCGGGAGTGGGGGATGGGAGCGGAGGGAAAGTGAGAGCGGGGGCGGGGGTGGGGGGGCCCCCGAGCGAAAGAACATCCTGTGCCCGCCGCCGGATGCGCGCGGGGCGGGGGAGGAGCGGGGAGCAGTCCGAGGAGGGGGGGCAAGACGGGGGGAGGCCGGGGGCGGGAGGAGCCTCGGCCTCGGCCCCACGCCCGGTCCTCCTTCTGCGGGGGGCGCCGCCCCCTTCGCTTTCCCGGGTTTTCGCCGCCTTTTCCCCGCGTCCCCACGCCTTCGCCGGCGTCACGAGCTACTCCAGAGGCCCGCCAGCCTGGTCCCCGGCCCGGGGTATGCGCGAGCTTGGACGGCACGGTCTCGGAGCGCGTAGGGTCCACATCAGGGTGCGGGCTGTCCCCAGACGCGCACCTCTCCGCTCTCTGCGGGGGCAGCTCGCACGTGCAGAGCTTTCCGCGTTCACCTAGAGTCACGGGCGTGCAGCGTTGCGTTCAGTTCTGACGGCGCACTTCCGTGTAGTAGGCGGGTATTGATAGACCCCTTTTCTGGAGGAGGAAACGGAGACTCAGGTTATAGAACTTGCCCAAACCAAAGCTCGAAGCACTCCAACGCGCTTTTCATTATAGAGTAAGCTGATTTCCCCTTAGCTTCTGGGCATGCAAGTGCGGGACCCCTCCGAGGTTGCACTTCTTAATGGCCTACTTGCACAGCAGGTCCCTAATAGCGTGTCAGTCTCCTCTAATTAACCAGGCTGAAATACCCATGACTGAGTCCTGACAGAGTAAGCATGTAGTCTTAGGGTTTTACAAGTGCAAGGATGGTTTTTAGAACTGAGTAGCCCAGGGCAATGGGCTGGGTGCCCCTAGCTCTCCAGGTTTAGGTATTTGGTGGGGTTGAAGGGTTCAAGGAGGACTCCAAAACTGTCAAAGAAAGTAAATGGGTTACAGGAGTTGACGTTGATTAGCCTGAAGACGACCAGAGTGGGAGGGATAGAGGATAAGGGAAGGGGCTGAATAATGTACCTTTCAGGCCTCATAGAGGCCAACCAACTGTGTGCTTACTTCCTTCCCACACCTGACATTTTTGTCCAAGGGGAAGCCTGCTTATAATCGAAATTATTATAGTCACATTTGGTGAGCTCTGTGTGCTGAGCACTGTTCTGATAAACCCAAGAAGTAGGTATTATACCCATTTTATAGGTGGGGAAAATGAGGCACAAAAAGATTACAAAGCTAATTCAGTAACTGAGCAGGAAGTCTTGGTTGAACCCACACTCACTCAATAAATTGCACCTAACATGTTGGGAAAACAACCCTGAATATTCAATGGAAGGACTGATACTGAAGCTCCAATAACTTCGGTCACCTGATTCGAAGACAAGACCCTGATGCTGGGAAAGATAGAAGGCAGGAGGAGAAGGGGACAACAGAGGATGAGATGGTTGGATGGCATCACTGACTTAATGGACATGAGTTTGAGCAAGCTTCCAGGGATGGCAACGGATAGGGAAGTCTGGCGTGCTGCAGTCCATGGGGTTGCAGAGTCAGACACGACTGAGCAACTGAACAACATGGTGGGAACAGCAGCAGCCTTCAAGGTGGAAAGCTGGTGCAGATGGCAAAGAGGTGTGCTAGGGCAGCCTGTATCCTTTTGCCTTGGTGAGGGCAGGTAAGAAACTTGGGGTTAGCTGTGTGTGTTTATGACATCTCAGACTTCTCTCTAGCCAATATTCCAAAGTTGGGGATTTGACAGGGGAAAAGAACCAAAACCCAGGTTCTCACCGAGAGCTGCAGCCTTCATTTATGTTCCCCAAGAACATTCACTATCATGTGTTGTCACCATCATTTCACAAAAGCAAATATATTTTAATTCTCCTCAAAAGAAGACAGACATCATCTGAATCAAAAGCAGTTACTCCCAAGAAAGAACAGTCCTTGACTTTCCACCAACAAATACACAATTCTTTTTTTTTTTTCCTTCTTCTATATTGTGCTGTGGATTAGCAAAAACTTATAATGGGGCGACTGCCTCTGCTTCTGATCCCTCTGAATCATTTGAGAGCAGAACCAAAAAAAAAAAAAAAAAAGCTTAGATGTAGCAGGAAGGAATTAACTTAGAGTCAAGAAAGA